ACTTTGAAAAATTCATTGGCCAAATGGTGTGAAGGGAACCTTAGCAACTGGCCAAAGGTATTGAGAGTTGCTGTATACGCTGACAACATCACAGTCAAGAGAACTACTGACTATGCACAATTTACTCTGTTGTATGATCGATATGCTACCTTGCCAATTGAAAGCATTGTCAAGACGTGGTCAAGTCAACAGAGTGACAGAGATTATTCTATTTCAGAACTCCTTCAAATCCGGATGAGACAAATAACAGAAGTTGATCAAGCAGTAATGGATGCTGCAGAAAGGATGACATCCAACAGATTATCAGATCAAGAGAGATGAAACAAGAAAAGGTATATAAGAAAGGATAAATTGAAGATTGAAGATGTTATCCTTCTGTTTGACAGTTCCCTTGAGACTCAGTGGACTAAGAGATTAAAGCCAAGATGGCTTGGTCCATATAGAATCACGGGTGAAGCAGAAAGAAAAGTCTATGAGATATCAGAGATGGATGGATCCAGGGTTCACGACATGGTATCAGGGTCAAGACTTCGTAAGTTTATCTTCAGAGATCCTGATTTGATCCCTGCAGTGACTTCAAAGAAAGGAAAGAGAAGTCAATCATCCAAGTGAGAGAACAGTCATAGAGGACTGAGAGAAAAAATACAGTGAGGCATTGAGACAATAAGATTCAGCTTCAGCAAACTCAAACCATTCTTGCATAATCAATTCAGCATTTCAGATTCAGCATTTCAGTTTCGTCATTTCAGTTTCGGTAATTCAATTTCGATATCTCAGTTTTCAGCAAGTTAGAGAGACTATATCTATGATGCAGTGCTACAGTCGTACCATGAGTGTCAAGTCCCTGAGAGTGGGGAATAACTGTAAATTCAGTTCAGTAAGCATTGACTTAATGTCAAGTATCTGAGAAACTCATGGTTGTGACACATCGAACGATATGATCGGTACTATCCTAAGATACAGAGAAGAACATGATAACTTCAGTTCTGCCTGACTAAGAGTTATCAGCAGAAACACTTCGTGTCTCTGAGTAAAATGTCCATCCAAGAGATTCAGACGAAGGCAGACATAAAGAAGTTCAACTTTACTTGACTGAGAGTGTTCAGTAGAGGGACTTTGTGCTTTGGCTAAGGGTCTGTCTTCACTCGGATGAGGGAATGAATCTCTCTAAGATCAGTATTTTAGTATTTTCTTGAGGCTGACGGGACGCCTCTTGGAGAAGAAATCCTAGTTGAGGGAAGGGATCTTTCTGGGGCTAGCACTAAGTTCTTTGCTTGAGGATGAAGAGAGGTCTCTTGCAAGCTCTTAGTGTTGGCTAGCTTGTTATTGTTCAGTGCCTCTTGAGACTGACGGGACGTCTCTTGAGAAATGTTTGTCCTGTTTTGGGGCATGGGCAGTCTGCTTGTGGGTTGTGATATGTTTGTCTGATTGTCTGTATCTGGGGTATCTTCTTCTCTAAACCTAAGGATGCATTGATTGTCGGGGCTAGCCAGAGCCTTACCGCAGTAGGTTGCAATCAGGTGGGGTTAACATGTCCCCAACGCGAGTGTCGAATTCCGTAGAGGCTAAGACTCCGAGGGTCTGGCCTGTGAGGTTGAAAGGGGTCAACTAGAACCCTACCACAGTTAGAGGATGCAATCCAGTAAGGTTCGCCAGAGCCTTGAATCGTAGTTAGACCGGGTCCTACGTTCGAAAATTTGGACGGGGCAGGCAGCGTCCTTGGCCAAAAACTGGTGGGTGAGCCGGTCCCCGACTGCAGTGGTCAAATCCGGGTTCAGGACAGTTTGACTGACGGGAGGTCTACTGTCACGGGGCGACCAGACCCGCTATAGTCTGGGTGTCCTGGCGAGAGTGCCAAAGGGCTGTCATACTCGAGTAGTGGGTATGCTGGTCCTGACCTGGAGGCAGGTCAAAGGGGCTATCAAAATAAATGGTCTGACTAGTTTTGGCCTGAGGCGGGTCGAATGAGGTATGTCAGGCTGACGGGACGTCCGACATTCCTGGTCAGTGGTGGACCAAAACCAAGGTAATCAATAAATCTTGGGTATGAAGAGTTGTTTTGTGACTCTTATTGTTGATTATTTATTATTTTATTTATGAGTTTTATTTTAATTTGTTACTGCTTGACTCCTGGTTGTCAGATGGTCTGCTTGCTGGGGATCTGCTGTCTGTGGGATCTCGCTGTTTTGCAGGTATACAAAGATTTATCTGAAGTTTCCATACCAGAGAAAAAGAAAAAGGGTTTGGTATCGTTTTCCTCCTGTCTGAGAAGTTGAGGAGACGCCTCACTCAGACCAGAGAAAGAAAACAGGGTTTGGTATCCCCATAAGGTGCTTGAGAAGTTGAGAAGACATCTCACTCAGGCCAGAGAGACAGAAAAAGGGTTTGGTATGGTCCATCCCCAGCATGGCGGACAGTGAGTGCCTTCATTACTGGGACACACCCCTGACACAGATGCCTGATCAAGAGCTAAGGTAACCTTTGTACAAAAGATCAGCAGCAGAACGAGTGAAACAAGTAGATAAAAATCATTCTTAAAATTTATTTGGTGGCCGACAAGCGACCTGGTTCACGAGGAACAACATCCCCGACCTTAAGGAAGCCAACCTCTCAGGCCAGGGACGCTATGAAGCGGGCGACGAACTGAAAATTTTGTGAGCAAAAATCAGACTCAGAAAGTTGAAAAGAAATCATGCTTATATAAGACATAAAAGATGGCTACAAACTCCATCTGGAAAAGGAAGAGAAGAAAGAAGATACTGAAGAGAATGCAATGACTAGGGTGTTGAGGTGAAGAGATAACGCATGGGACAGAGGAAGGCGGAACTGGCACTATGGCTTTGCTCACGGCGGGGGTGGAAGGAGCTCTGGGGATATAAGGAGGAGAAAAAAGCGCTGGGGGTGCCATGACGTGCATCGAATTTTTTTCGGAGGTACTCCATCCTGTCTAGGGATGAAGTCTTCTCATACCACCCTGTTAATGGATAACGCGGATAAGATCTTTGATGCGCGTAACCCCTTGGCTGTTCTTCCTCCTCCTCCTCTGAACTATAAGTGCGTCGTGCCCTAACTGGCGGCTCCTCTTTAGCCTTCCCTGTCCTACCTCTTCCTCTACCCTGTTCGCGGCGTGCCTCAGGCATGGTAGGGAATGAGGTGGTAGTTAAGAGAGAGGTGAAAGACAGAGGATGTAGCACTATATGATAAAAGAGGGTGCTATATGAAAGAAATTTATGGTGATGGGATGACCAAGGGGACAAACGAAAGCAGGGAACTGGTAAGAAGAAAAGAGGAAAATGACTGCACTAAATATAAGGGTTACGACTTGCGGTGGTCGAGAGAAGGCGAGCACCGAGAGAAAGGGCGAGCACCGAGAGAAAGGGTGAGCACCGAGAGAAAAGGCGAGCGCAGATAAGAAAGGTGAGTGCAACGAGAAGGTGAACGTTGGGGAAAAGAATGAGTGCTGGAAAAGAGAACGAGCGCTGAGAAAAAGAGTGAACGCTAAAGCAAAATAGAAAACAGACTGCGTAGAACTATAGTGCGGGCTCCGCAGTGAGTCGCGAGTGAGAATGAATGAGAAACACTCCTTGCTCGCGCTGAATTTATGTTGAAAATGCGATGCATTTCGACCCAGTGGGAACGTTAAGTGGGGGTTTGGTATTATGTCGGAGGGCGCGGTGTCCCGGCCCTCCTTTGTGTACCAGATCCTCGCTCAGTGCCAGTCCCTTGTCCCGACTTACTGATCACTAGGCTCATCTCGTGCTGTAGGCCTGGTACCCGAACTGTTTTTCGACGCGGAACGGTCCTGGTCACTTTGCCCTCAGCAAAAAGGGTGCGCCACAGGACTTCCATTCGTCCACGCAGGCTCGGCGCCCTGCTGTACAGCAAAGCACTACCGGCCTGAAGCCGTGGTAGCCGCCGGGTTCGCCCTGGGATGCGAAGGTGAAAAGGCCATGGCGTTTTTTTTTACTGCGGACCAAATGCCTCCTAACCAGGTTATGGGTTAGGTGCACGGGATAAAAGTCGTTGTCAAAAGAGAAAAGAGAAAAAGGAAAATAAAACGTCGAATTTGAACTCGTTTTAGTTTGGGAAAAATCCAGTGGCCTCAGGCCATTGTGATGCTACGATTTCCTTTCCGTTTCTGATTTACTGTTATCATTATTATTATTATTATAACTTAATTTTCCTATTTTCAATTTTTTCCCTGTTGGCCTGTCGTTTCGCGGAAAGGCCAACGGTTCGAATTTCGAGCTCACTGGTCCACAGCCTAAGTTGGCCGACCTTACGTATACCGTCTGTGGGTGAACTCCGATTGAGCGCCGCACTGTAAGGCCCCAAAAGAGGGGCGACCCGCGGCCGCATTGGTAGGAGGCCTATCACCCCCCATGGAGGGTCATAAGCCCCCTCCTTGCCATCGGACACGGGCACCCGATAAGGGTGGAACGACGATGCATTTTTAAAGAGAAGGGTAAGGCTGTCAGTGTCCCGTTATGGGACTTCTGTTTTTTTTTTCGAGACCCTGGTTACTTCGCTCTGAATAGGGACTGATGTAGCTATAAAGCAAGTGTTCTGTCTGTGCACCGACTATTGAAATTCCGCCTTACCTGCTAAAAAATTATTAAAATTCGTGTTATTTTATTAATTTCAAGAATTCTAAGTTATTATCTGAATTTTCCTTTAGTACGCAGGGATCGCGGTCACTCTGAGTCCTATAAAACAGGGGTTGTTACCTGTGAGGGGCATGTCATTGCTCCGCAGGTGTAAGCAGTGATATACGCTGAGGCTTTGATTTCTCGATAGTCGGAACTTAGCCTGTCCAGTAGTCTCGCGTGCAGGCTAGTACGAATTGAGTGCTGGCATTGGCTACTGAGAGAAGAGCGGCTATGGCGTTGTAGGGATACAGGCCTGGTTACTGGTACCACCAGGCCCGTTGGAAGCCTATGTCTGGGAAAGGGCCCTGGATTACAATGATACTCGACTATGACGGTGGAGAGGAGGTGCAGTTGAAGATTAATGTGGAGGGAGCGAAAGAGGGAGAGATGCAGACTAACCCGAAGCTGGAGGACACAGTCACAGAGGCGAGAGATCGTTCGGAGAGGCGCTGCAGCAGGGACGGTGTGACGGCGAGGCTACGGATAACGGTGGCTTATCATGAGACTAAGACTTCCACTGACACGGTGGACAGAGAGCAGGCCCACCTGGACAGGGACTCAGGTGGGGAGAGCGAAATGAGCGAAGCGGGAGATCGGGAGACGGACATCAGGTCCTGGAATAGACCAGGCGAGGTCCAGAGGTATCACCGAGCCGCGAAGCCGGTGGAAGAGGGACCCGAGGCCAGCTCTCAACAATTGATGCCAAGAGGCCGCGGGACGAGTGAGAAGCAGAACAGGGAGAAAAGACATGTCTGAGAGGGGCGCAAAAAGATCAATAGCGGAGAGAGAGAGGGGCGAGGGTGGTTACGCGCGTGTGCAGGCTGCACGTGGCAAAGCCTGAGGCAATAAGAGAAGGTCAAAGAACGAGATAAATTAAAAAAAAAAGACGCGCAATGTGGTTGACGACATCCACCACCTACGCGCTCGTGTGATGCATGAGCTGACTACAGTTGGCAAGAAAGAAAAAAGAGCGAGAGAAGAGAGGAGGTTTGCGGGAAGTTTTCGCACGCATGGTGTTGATTGATGTCGCCCTCGATTCCGTCTCTCGCGTTTTAGTTTGCCATCCTGAGAGAGATATTTGTTCCCCATTACTCTCGGCACAAGGGCCTGCTTAGTCCGGACATGCGAGGACACGTCATTACCGTTTGCCCATTCTCTTTTTTTTTTTTTTTTTGAGAAGCGTCATTCTTGTGCGGGTCGCTGCTGACGCAAATAGTTTTTCGGACGGGTTTGACCTGAGCTTGATCAAGGCAGATTGAGCTTCTTGCTAGCGTCAGAATATGAGTGTCGTTCACTGGTCGGGGGCTTTGCTATGTTCGCTGCTCTCGATGGACGAACCTGGCTCGTAGTAACAGCGAGGTCGTAGCCGAGCTGGGATGAGCGCAGAGTGACCATGGTAGGTGCCTAGTGTTTGGTGGGAGGAAGTTGTATCCTTGGTTCGTGGTCAAGTGCCGCGTTATGGCTAGCCAACGAGCTGTCGTTATCTCCGGATTACACCAGTCATTTACTGCTTTTGCACCCTTGCCTTATGAGACTATACGCGCTGCCTCTTTTGTGCGCGAGAGAGCTGAGCTGGGCTGTTGACGTCAATTATTGGTAAGTGAGGAGAGACGTGCTACGACTGTGGACGGAGATAGAGTTAGGTGAACTGGTTTGAAAATGTTGAGGGTGTATAAGCACAAGTGAGCAGACGAAGAAGCCTAGGTGATTGAGAGGGAGAGCGAGGACACGACTTTTGAGATCACTGTTACGGGTTGGAGTGCGCTGACCCTCTATTGGCAAACGCTTCCGCTTCAAGTCATTCGCTTCCAACGGTTTGAGCTTGGTGTATTCTTGACAGTATTATAACTCCTCATTCCTGGTTGGTTATCCTTTGCTGATTAAGACTTCTTTTTTTTTTGGAAAACTTCAGAAGTCACTGTGCCTAAGTGTCAATTCAGGGCCAGCCACGTTGCTGATCGAGGGCTCCTGTAGTCGTCAATCAAGAGATGAGTCGTGGCTGTTAGTCGTTACATCGATTTTCCGGAGCCATCAATTGATGGTGACCCTGCCTTTACTGAGCTGGTTCCCTGGGAGTGTGATCGAGAAGGAGATCGGGATTTACTCACACTGGTTTCTCGAGGAGGAGATAAGGAGTGATTTGGTCCGTGTAATTTAAGTGACCATCTGTATTCATGGGAATAGGCAGGCTCATCGGTGAGCAGGTACCATGGAGGTCATGTAACAAGTGTCGAAAGCTAATGTGATGTTTGGATTGGGGTGATAAGTGAGACTGTGTTCTTGGGAAAAAGAAAAAGGAGGATGGGGAAAATATTCACAGATAAGGCTTTAATCAACCCGCCTGAGTGCTTTTCGTAACTTTTCTCTCTTTTTCCCCTGGGTTCCTGGTCTTCTTTTTTTGCGAACTTCCCCACTTCCCCTAACTATACTTGGTGCCGCCACAACTTTTCGCTCCCTTTAGCCCTTCACTGCAAGGGCCATTGGAATCATGAAGGCTAACGTGGCTCACTTAAAACTGGGTCAGCAGACTCAAAGGCTTGTCATGAATGCAAAGTAGCCTCATTGAAGTGCCTGCTATCCAAATAAGAGTGGCTAAAATTGTGTCATTCTGGGTCTACTTTAAGACAAGGTAACCGACCTCGTCTATCTATCTGCAAATGATGAGCAAGAGAAAGTCTGTGCTTAGAAGGGTTGCTTACTTTCTGGCTAAATACTTGATAGATGGTGATTGATTAACTCTCATTCTATCGCTTCTCTGATCTGCAACGTCTAGCTAAGGAAGAAGGGGATTATCACAAAAGTTGCGTTGGTAAGCCTCACTCCTTTTCGGAGTGAACTGCTAAAAAACGGTGAGCCAGAACGTTCCTTCTTGTGCATGTCCTTCCACTTTGATCTGTGATGCGTGCCTAGGTGGTCAGTTATCAAGTTTCACTTGTGATGCTAGGTGGTTCGGGTAGAGGTCTCCAGATAAGTTGGGTCTTGAGCCATGAAGTCAGAATTACCACCGTCGACGCTTTAATAAGATCGCTGTCAGCGACATCCAATACAGAACAAACCGTACCTGATGCTAAGGCTGCATTGTTGCTAATCAAGTAGAAATTGTATTTAGTGTTGACTCAAGCGCTAACTTAACATGACTTGCGACAACTACGCCCAGTTCTCTGAATAAAAAGAGGAGTCGCGTCTACTCAAACGGTTTCAGAAAAGGATGCATGGATCTGTTTGATTACAACTTTAACTACTGGTCATATTAGCTGGGCCGACGTGAAAAACCCTTACTGTGGACCAGCCAAAGAGGGTTGTTCGCTTGTCAGCTTAAAGACCTATTCGTCTGTAGCAAACTTGCATAAAGTGATCCCACTGTAAACTCCATCATCCAAGGACCCTCTGGTGAGACCCTCAAGTGCCACATCGAAACTAAGTGTAGAAAAAGAGGGGGGGGGGGGGACTAAAGAAATGAGGTGTGAAGATCAGTCTAAACCTACTTTGTTCCGCATTTGATTATGCATGAATGGTTAAGAAGGGGGCAGTCTCGAGCCTGTCTCTTATACACATCTAGATGTGTATAAGAGACAGGGTGGGGGTGGCGATAGCATATTAAAAGTAATCTGCACTTTGAATTGAGGTAAGGCAAAGGATTGAGAAGGGAATGTTGCATAGGATACCTGTTCTCGCCTAAGGCTTGATGAGGCAAGCCCTGCAGGCAGTGAGATAACATGGTTTCGTTGAGTGCACCTTCCATACCTATGGATCAGATGGAGGGCTGCACAGTTCTCTCTCTACTATGGGACATGACTCTATTTGGATGTGCAAGAGGGGTCAATTCTGGTGGTCAGTGAAAGTTCTCAGTTGTTTATCTCAAGAGAAAGGCGCAAATATCAAGTAAGGACAGACTAGGAAGAACGGGCCTGATTCGAAACGGGTCACTGTCGACCACGAGGAACGTCATTGAAATATGAGCAGCAAATGGATTAGTTAGCAGGTTTAAACTGTCAGTAATCATTTATGCCAACTACTCATCGGCAGAAGCCTGTACCGAAGTCTCTTATACCTTAATCCTCGTAAACCTCAGGTCCTGCATCCAAAGGCTGATGTGATAGGACTCAGTGAAGGAATGGGGGACAGAAACACAGTGAGAGTAACTTGTTCGAAGCACAGGGGCCGAACAGACGGTTGCAAAAAAAAAGTAATTGAGGACTTTCATCATCAGACAAGGCTTATGATGGATTATGCCCTCACGCTGGTGAAAAACCAAACGTATGTAGAATTCATCTACTACCTTTACGAGGGTGACGAAAGGTTGCATAGCACTCTCACGTTGATAAGGTCTGTCGAAGGAGTAAGGAAAGGTTTTGGCTGGTGACCAGTAAGGGAATTTTTGTCATCGATTTTCAAAAGGGAAGAGCATGCATTTTGTCGAGAATAAACTAAGGAGAGCGGGCTGGATCAGAAACTGGTTTTCAGTTAGACGTACAATACCTACCTGCCTATTGAGTAGGTTGAATAGGTTAGGGTGAAGCCTAGAAGAGCGTGAGGGGCCTTGATCCCCCTCATTGGAGGCTTCACTAACTATTCTAATCAGTAAGCAACTGATGGTTTCAGATACTCAGTGCGGTTGACCGAGATCAGTACTCAACGCAGTTACTAGCTAGCTGGACTCAGCACTGTTACCAGTAAACAAGCGACATGCAATTAATTTTCAACAACTCTCAAATCAGTCACTTAGACAATACTCAACTGTTATTCAGTCAGTACCCAACATTCTTCGGTTCTCAATCAGCAGTACCCCAGCCTGGCATTCAGTTGGTTCGAGAAAGACTCTAACTTATCAAGTAACTTTCTCTCACGCACTCAATCAGTCCTATCAAACAGCAATCAGTCATCTATCAATCAACATAGTTTGTGCTCAACATCTAACAGTCAAAACGAGTGATTTTGTGACTTGTGGCTCCATAGCTTCTGCTACGTGTACTCGTAGCTGACAGAGTTCTGCCACTCCTGTAGTACTCAGATTCTCAGTCTGCATAATCTCAGCAGCGCTTAGCTTTAGTCAGCAGGATCTCAACAATCGTTTAGTTCTCAATTCAGCAGTTAATCAGTTCTTCGATCAACAATCAGTCAGTTCGCTGATCAGCAGTCAATCAGTATTCAGAACAGCTTTCAAAAGGCATTCAAGCCGCGGACGCCTGTCAGCCAAGCTCAACCTTTCTTTTTTCCTCCATCAGAGAGCAACAATTTACCAAACACATGATAGAAATCAACCCCATCACAGTTGATCAGTCGGTCCTTGACAGTCTCAATCTGATTGCTGTCAGGGAGAGCTTCCCCTACAGGTACGTCAAGATTGATGGGTTCAAGCGAGAAGACCTATCCATCTTCATCGCGCTCACTGAGTTCGCTGAAGGTACAATCAGTGACCTACGGATCTTCCTAAAAAAGGGGAACGATACACACCCTCATTTTGATGCAGTGTGGGCAGCAGCAGCCGGGTATGTGCAGTGGAGATGAGAGACTTCAGGGGAACACAAAGCTAGTCTATAGCTTTGGTTCTAAGCTTTTCACTGACTATCCCAAACCTCCGGTCCCCTACTATCTTGCTGATGGCTCTTATTGGGGTGGACTGGTGGACTTGGCAAAGAGGTACATATCGCTTGTAGTGATCGACTATGAGGCAGTGACTGAGCCTTCTGAGTTTCCACATCTCAGGAGAGGCATTTTCTCTCAGCCATATCTCCCCACTCTATGGGAGGAGTTTTGTGCCATGGTTGATTTCCGTATTATGAGACTTGGCTGGAAGTGTCTGGAAGTACTGGGCTTCAGGTGGCTTTACATTCAGAAGCCACAACCTCAGAGAGTACGGAGACATGGCAAGAAGCCCAGACGACAAGCAACAAAGTGACGGATGAAGAGTGAAGTTCTGAGGGTTGAGTGAGAACTCTTGATTGGTGCTGGCCATGTTCTCTTCCATATGTACTCTCTGAGACTATTACGAGTTCTCATTCTTCCCTCATTCATTTGATCATGTCATTACTCGAGTCAGTCGGTCTTGCTTTCTTGCATTGTTCTTGCTTGATGATTGCTATCGTGGATGATTCTGTCACGATTCTCAAAATCAGGTTGACATATTGACGCATGCATAGCACCCCATAATTTTATGATTATTATTTGCGTGATTCTCAGGGACCGGCGAAGACCGCAATTGAAGGGTCTCGCTCGAAGCCGGACGCACACAACAGGAAGGGATTTGCTTTATTTAATCTACTTTATTTATTGCAACCACATACAAAATCCTGCGTAACAGCCTGAAAACTTTCTGGTCGCCCGAGGTGGCTCGACTGGGAAAAAGTGCGATACCGAGGGGAGTCCGGGGTGGGGCATAAAACCCCATTTTTGGGTTTAGCCCATGTGGTGCGCGCTCTCGCTGCGCACCCCCAACTATTTTTTATTTTATTTTATTGTTATTATTATATTTTTTTGAATTTTTTTTTTATTGGGGGGTCTGGAGCCGGGGTTGGGGGTGCCCACCCCCGGACCCGCGGACCCCCGCCGAGGCCCTGGGGCTGGGGCTTGACAACCCTGATACGAAGGGAGAACCCAACTCAGAGGAACCTGGTGAAGGGAGACCATCATGCGACACAACCAGAGTACTGTACAGGGTAAGGTAGTAAGAGAGTGATGACGTCTGAAGTAGGCAGAGCTGATCGTGACGAAGGTCGTGAAGTTGTCGATGACGTCCATGATGAGAAGTCCGGAATGCCGTCGAAGAAGAGCCGCAACGTCGACGAGCTGAAGTGGCAAAACTGGAGTGGATGGAGTACTGAGAAGTCAAAGACGTGGGAAGATAAGTCAGAGTCAGTTGTCATATTGAGCAGGACGACGATGCGTGCGCTGTGGACGCTCAGAAGCATTCGGGTGCTGCTGAAGGTCTGCCTCGGATGGAGCAGGCTCGACTTCAGCGGTCTTCTCAGCCGAGGGAGGAGGAGGGTAGTGCGCTGAGGACGAGCAGTCAACCCAGCACGACGAGCACGGTCATAGACACACACCAACATGCGAGCGTGTTGCAAGTGCTCGGGGGGCTCCCAAGTAGCCTCCTCATCAGGGTAACCCTTCCAATGTACGAGATACTCGAGATGAGGAGGGTTGTTGTCGGTGGCTCGGCGACCAATGATGTTTGAAACGAGGAACTCCTCGTAGCCGTCCACCATGACGGGTGGAGGGCGCTCGTATGGTCGTCCAATGAAACGCTCAGACAGTCTGCGGTACGGACGCAATAACGAGACGTGGTAGATATCGTGTACACAAGCCTGGCGTAGTTAGGCTTCGCACGGAAGCTTACCTGGCTAGAAGCCGTATCAGAACCGACGGGCTGGAGAATGCGGCACAAGCCAAAGAAGTGACGTCGGAACTTGCGAAGCGTGTCCGCTTCGAGCTGTAAGTGGAGGGCGTCGACAAACACATCATCACCGATTTTAAATGGATGATCCATCCTCGATTGGTTCGCACGTGCGGCATGCGAGTCTGCGAAGCGGCAATGTGTTCATGCGCGGTCTTCATGATCGACGTCATGTGTGCAACCCAATCATCCAGCGCGGGACAACTCGTGTTGGGGTGCATTTGTGGCGGTCGAAGGAAGTCCGTGGGAACACGAGGGTGATAGCCGAGGTCGCAATAGTAAGGCGACATTCTCGTGGTGGGCGAGACGGCGTGGTTGTAGGCTATCTCCGCGTGGGCAAGATGGAGAGACCACTGCTGGCCGTCACGAATAATCTTTCGAAGAATATCTTCGAGAGTCCTATTCGCGACCTCGATCTGACCATCAGTCTGGGGATGGTAAGACGAGGAGAAGCGGAGTTGGGTGCTGTACACCTCGTGGAACCATCGCCAGAATCGGCTGGTAAAGCGCGGGTCACGGTCAGATATGATGCTCAGAGGTAAGTTGTGGTCACACACAAGTCGGTCAAACACGATGTCGACGACCTCACGTGCACTGATGATATAGCGACACAGAATAAAACGTACGCGCTTCGTGAAGCGGTCGACGACGATCCGGATAACATCATGATCGTGAGGGGTCGGAGAACGAAGAGGACCGATGAAGTCCATTGAGATGGACTGCCAACGACCCTCAGGGATAGGAAGAGGCTGCAGCAAACCATAAGGCAGGTGGTTCGCACTGTTCACCTCCTAACAGGTGGGACACTTTACGACGTAGTCCTCACAAAGTCATTACGTACAGGCAGCTCACACGAACCAACGTCTTATTGAAGCCCGTATGACCGGCGGTTGTCTGGTCATGAAACTCTTCTACTGCCCAGACACGTAGCTGTCCAGTGGAGGGAACATAAATACGGGGCTCTCTGGTGCTCTGTGAGCCGTGCCAGTACACAAGACCGTTGTCCCCGAGAGAGTAGTTCGGGACGTCTTGCCACTCCGAAGGGTCGCATGGATGTCGCGATTGTCGGGGCAGTGGCGGTTCTGAGTGCGAAACTCGTCGATCACCGAGTGGTGGACGGTGGTGACCGAGATGGCAGCAAGCTGGATCTGCTCTAGATCATGGTCAGGGCGCTGGGATAAGGCGTTTGCGACCCGATTAGTTTCACCCTTTATGTGCTCAGTGGTGAAACTAAACTCGGCAAGGTCGCGCCACCAGCGAGCATGTCGAGGAGTGAGCTTCGACTTTGTCAGAAAAGCCTGGACAATAAAGTTGTCCGTGCGCACCGTGAATGGTGCCCCGTGTAGGTAGTGACGCCAGTGTCGAGCGGCATAAACTATTGCGAGAACCTCACGTTCATCAGCAGTGTAGTTTATCTCCGCGAGTAGGAGCTGACGAGAGTAGAAGGCTATCGGACAATCACCCGAGCGAGACTCGACAGTGCCGTCCTAGGCGATGGTAGGAGAATAGTCAATACAAGGCTCGTCAGTAGATGGACCAGTAGGCGTCAGGCAGGAAGCAGTGGTAGGGGTCGGGGGTGGGAAGCGAGGGATGCGAGGATGAGAGGAATCAGAAGAGAAGGAAAAAATATGAGAAAGCACTGCTCCTACAACAAAGTTTGACGCATCGGTGGTAAGGATAAAAGGGCGATCAAAATTGGGTAGGTGAAAAATCGGTGCACATGTCACCTCCTTCTTCAGGGCGCGGAAGACGTCCTCGTGAAGGGGTGTCCAACACCATGGCGGGTTCTTCCGAAGGAGAGTGGAGGTAAGGACGTAGGAATACCTAGCGTATTTCTGGATGAAATTGCTATAGTAGCTAGTGAGGCCTAGAAAACTGCGAAGCTGCTTTGCAGATATGGGGACGGGCCACTCCACAATAGCAGTAATCTTCGCGTCGTCCATGTGGAGACCCTGGTCAGACACATAGTGTCCTAAGAAATCCACTTTGTGCTCGGCAAAGCGGCACTTGCTCAGCTTGGCGTAGAATCCATGTCTGCGCAAATGGTCAAGGACGTCACAGACGTGTCTGAGATGCTCCTCAAGGGTACGACTATAAATGAGGATATCGTCGAGGTAGACGAGAACGTACAACTCCAAAATGTCCTTGAAGATGTCGTTTATGGTCCAGGATGTCCCTGAAGATGTCGTTCATCGCCCTCTGGAAGGTAGCGGGTGTGTTCGTGAGGCCAAATGGCATCACCGTAAACTCGTAGTGGCCGAAGTGCGATCGGAACGTTGTCTTCACCTGGTCCGCTGCAGCGACGTGGATCTGATGATAACCGCTACGAAGATCAATCTTCGTAAAGAAATGGTTGTCTGCTAAGCAGCAGTCGAACAACTCGTCGGAACGAGGCATGGGGTAGCTGTTCTTAATCGTGTAGCGGTTGAACCAACGATAATCGATGGAGAGACGAAAAGTTTCATGCGCTTTGCGAGCAAAAAGGACGGGTGTAGCTGACAGGGAGTTGCTGGGTTTAATGAAACCCAGTCTCAAGAGTTCCTCAAGCTGACGCTCGAGTTCAGTGGCCTCGGGGATCGAAAGTCTGTAGGGTGCCTGATGGTGAACAGGATAGTTAGGCACAACTGGATGGAATGCTCGACGTCGCGCATCGGTGGGATGCCGACGCACGAGAACGACGATGGGAAAACGTCGTGGTACCCTCGAATGAGGTCACGAACTGCGGGCTTCAGGTCGGTCGTATAGCGTGCGAGTTTCTCAACGTTAGCATCAGGGTTGTCGAGCCCCGGCCCCGGGGCCCCGGCGGGGGTCCGGGGGTGTGAGCACCCCTGACCCCGGCTCCGGACCCCCCCCCCAAAAAAAAGAAAAATCAAAAAATCAAAAAAATAATAATAATAAAAAAAAAATACAGGGGGGTTCGCAGCAGCAGCCTGCACCCTCTGGGCCAAACTGCAAAAATGCATTTTTGGGCCCACCTCGGGCCCCCCCCGGTGCTACATCCACCCCTGGTGAGCCCGGGGTCACCCTGGGCGCGGGGCCGGGGCGGGGATGAGCGGGGTGCGGGGCCGGGGATGGC